GCAATCAGCAAGGTTCAGGTTCAATTTCATTTCTAGAAAGTTTCAGCCACCATTTTACGAAACTTGCAGAGAAATCTCAATTCCAATTTTTGGAGCGAACAGGCTCGCAGGACGTCCTATTCTTATACATGTACTTGGATTTTATGACAGTGTAAAGACGTGGTGGCTAGTGTTGGCAATGCTTTTGGAGGCAGCCATGTTGTGTATGCCCTCAACATCAAAATATGTTCAAAGCTTGAGTTCTCGATGTCAAAACTAGCGAATTTCATTCCTGCAGCTAAGCTTTTCCTGACCAAGCTATGCTGCACGGTGTCAAAGCTGTGATTTTCATTAAAAAGCTACACTTTCATTGGTACCCCTGAATTTTAAATAATGTTAAACCACTGCTTTTAGATTTTAATACTGTATACCATCATGCATCACTTTGTTAACTTACAGCTTGGGTCACAGTCATTATCTCAGTTTGGTGCCAGTCTATACGGGCAACAAAGCAAAGATTTCCAGATGTTTCATCATGATCAGGGTGAGTCTTGTAAAAGTACTCTAAATACATTTTATGTGTCAGAGAAAGCCATAACGTATAAATTTTGTATCAGTAAACAGATCAAATATTATACATCTATCAACCAGAATTTTGGGAGTTATAGCTTGCAGTAATTTTTTGGTATTGTACTGGCTATCATTATCCTACCCTATTAGAAAATGGGTTGGAACGGAAAGATGTATAATATAAGAAAATTATAAGGATATGTGACTTTTGGAACTACTTTATTGCATGCGTCAGAATACGTCCTTTTGGTGTTATGTCACCTGATCACCCAAGTGTATTGATATGTAAAAAGTAGTGCCGTTGGTGTAACTGAAAAAGGCAGAATAAACAAGAAGTTAAACGTGAAAGCTCTCTGGTTTCTTTGATGTGAACACATCACAGTAAACATTTCAGAAGCTGCATTGCAGAATCAATACTAAGGGTTATAGCCAGTAAACATTTAAAAAGTGCCTGTCTAAAATCAATATTGAAATGCAAAGTAATATTTACTGGTCTCCAGCCACAGACTTGGCCTATTTTTTGTTGATTATTCATGGCTATTTCCTAAAAACTGGAAATTTTCAATCAAAAGTTGACAGGTTTGCTAAAAGCTTATTGTTACTCTCAGTGTATTGTTTTGTTCATATAGTATCCTCCTTATAACCTTATGAATATTAATACTTAATTATAAATAAAGTCACCTAACTCTTGCGACGTTGTTCGTACTACAGGTAGTATAGGAATGCAGAATGTTCCTAGGGGAATGCCAAATCCCACACAGCAGTTCCCTGGCAGAACGGTTACAAGTCACCATGGTAATATACCTGGGCATGTGACACCAACTAGTACTGGGGTGCCAACCATGCCATCAGGTCTTCAACAGCATGCGCCATCGTCACCGAATAGGTAAGAAGGGATTCCTACCTATTTTATTTATAAATGTGCTGCCTTCATTGATAGGAATTGGTTATACGTTTTATTTTTGTGAGTCTGAAATTGTGAAAATTACGTTTCTGACGATTTAATGTGTTGTTTTCTTTTTGTTGTGTGCATCATAATTTTCTATGACTATTTTGCCTTTAGTTTTCACATCGCATTTTATGCTATATAGCCTTGTGTAGGGTCCCTTTTGTCCATGCAATTGTGTCTAAGACAATATATTGGTAAGATTTGCTCATCTTACTGTTATATTTGAACAAAAAATGTTCAAAATCTCAACTATTATTGCTTTAAACTAAACTTAGTGGTAGTGTTACTTTGTAGAATTACTGAAAATACTTTATTTTAGCTGAAATTATTTTTCGTTGAAAAGACTGTTTTGTATGGAATTTATTTTCACTGATTTCTAACGAGTCAAATGTAAAATATAGGGAAAAAGGTATATTCCAGGCAAATTAATTCTAAGCGAAATATAAAGTATTTTACAGTACTTTGTGTAATACTGCAACTGCTGCAATGTTTTTATTTTGTTGTTCTATTTAGGGGAATACTTTCTGTTGGTCCTACTATTGGTCCTCGCAGTGGTTTATTTAACCAGATGCCAAGCAGTAATCAAGGCATTACGATACCAAACAGAGGCAATGCAATGCCATCAGGTCTAGCAAGTCCAAACAGACAGTCACCAAGTATACTAGCAATGCAACAAAAACAACAACAACAGCAACAGAGGCTAGGACTCGGCACGTAAGTAATCATGGAATTTTTTTTTTTGAGTGAAGGCCTGTCCAAATGTTCAAAACAGGCAGATTTAACCTGAGATATGTGTCACAAAAGTGCTAAAACAACTAACTATTGATACTAGCGTTTATATTTCCCGGCACATTTGAGGGGGAAATCACTCACTCACATTGAATGAGTCCCAAGTGACGATAACATCACATACTAAAAACGGAAAGGCTCATGGGTAGACGTTTGTTTGTAAACAATGACACGCT